CCAGGCGTTGCCCGGGGATGTAACAGTAGATCAAGTATCGACCATCATAAAGACTGAAAAATAAAATTGACAAAGATTATTGTTTAAGGTTGATGGACACGCATGTCTTAATTAGTTTTTTTTTTTTTACGAATTGGTCAAACCCAAACTCAAACAAAAACATTGTTTTCAATCGTTATGATGAGTCTACCGATTGAATAGAATTTTATTATAAACAATTGTCTTGTAAATGGAATTTTTAAAGCATTCTGAATGTAAAAATAAAGAAAAAAGTGTGCAAGACAAAAAGAAATACTATCTGCCCAAAAAAAAAGTGAAGTTTTGTTGAAATCGGTTGAAAAATGTAGGAAATCCGATCCCATATATAAACGAACACACACACACACACACACACACACACACACACACAAACAAACAACCTGGGTTTTATAAGTATAACTCGATATGAGTTGTTCCCCTCCCATTCGGCGATGCCATTTAATCGTGTTTTCAAATTGATTTCGTGCAAAAACAATTGTGTTTTTTCCAATTTTTGCTGCTGTCAGAACCACCACAGGGTAATTTTTCGTAGTCCTGTGAAATTTTGTTGAAATCGGTTGCAAAATGTAGGAAATCCGATCCAATATATAAACGTACAGATACACACACACACACACACACACAACCTGAGTTTTATAATAAGTATGATATATATATATATATATATATATATATATATATGTATATATAAAATCTCTTACCATATCGCGCACATTTGGCTGCGATGTATATGCGTCCTGTACCCTCAGCGAGCTGGATGTCATGATGAGTATATTGAGCTTCATATATTTATACACCAGTGTCACATGCTTCACGTGCTGTGATCTCAAATAATAATAATATTAAACAAAGAAACCAGAAAGTGCCTCTTCATTCATCTGGCTGTTCCCGGTGACTATAATATCATGGTCGAAAAGATTAACAAATTCAAGAAATACACCGACTTCAGTATTGAAGTTGCCAGAATGCATAATATACAGTCCACTGTTGTACCAGTTAATAGTGCAGCGTTGGTGTCTGTACCACCGAACTACATGGAGCCAATCACAATGAAGAATTGTATTACATCGCTTCAGGAGTTTGCGTTGCTTGGAATGGCATAGATTCTGAGAAAGATTCTCTCTCCATGAAGAGCAGCCATAATGGTAGATCTCCGACCGAAACGATGAACGAAGGTAATAATAGAAAGAAGGTAATAATAATAATAATAATCATCCAGACCTGGTTGCGGAGATAGGGCCTGTAACAATTTTATGAGACTTTACAATACACACAGGTAGAACAATCAAAGCTAATCGCTTTGATATCGTGATTAGAAACCGCAAAGACAAAATGTGACTCCTTATTGACATGGCAGTCTCTGCAGATTGTAATGTCTCTTTGAAGATCTTCAAACACAAACAAAAAAAAAAACATGAAAATACAAGGACCTTGAAATCAAAATCTCGAAAATATTGCTTATGTGGACATTAGCAATTCTAGTTGTATTTGGAGCCCTCGGAATGATTGGAAAAGATTCCAATAGACTTTTGAAGGGATTCCTGATAGCCCATGCCTTAAAGAAACAAAAAGAAATGTACTCACAAATACAGTCCACACCTTACGAAGAGTTTTATCTATGTAAAATATGCGTGATTTTTTTTTCAGGACTAATCAGTGGAAAATGTCATGATGGCATTTCTGACCTTAGGTCTCTGGTTAGGACCCGGAAAGAAATGAGTATACACCAAAAAACTAAAGAAAATATGATAATAAATAATAATAATAATAATAATAATAAGAAGAAGAAGAAGAAGAAGAAGAAGAAGAAGAACTGAAAATTACAAGAATCGGATTGGAAGCATACCTAACAGAAACATTGATATCAATAATAAGATTAAGCAACTAGACCAAGGTGATACATACAAATATTGAGGAGACGGAATATATTGAATCAACTGCTAAGTCTGCTATTGTTAATGTCACTTCACTATGTCGTGTTAGATAATTTTTATTGTAAGAAGATGTCTTGAACATTTAAAAATCTACCATTCGCCGTGTAACGAATCTTGCTGCCATGTTCGCTTTACTCTTTCTGTTTTATATGTAGGTAATCTGGTTAAAATTCAAAGACAAATCTGCAACGTTATCGGACCTGACCTGGCATCTCATTACAAGTCACTTTCCCACCGGCGTAACGAAGATTCCCTTTGCCTTTATGTTGTGGATTCCGGGATGAAATCCGGTCTCAAATGAATGACAAACGCAGGAATGAAATATAGCAAATAAATGTATTGACGCAATAATACAATTGGTAATACTGTTAGTAGACCCAGAAATGCGGTTAGTAGCAATGGTAATATATATATACAGTCTGGGAAATTCAGTATCAAAGTAAGACTTCTTTCTGAGTCTACGTGCTCGCAACTGCTGTGACTCCTACAAAGCAGTTATTTCACACTCTTACTCTCTCTATTACTCTACCTCCCGGGTATTCACCAGCAGCAGTACAAGTACACACTGGACGAGTCCACTTGTAAGAAAAAGGGGTGGACCCCATAACACTTTACTATAAATATTTTCATGGTATTGTTGCGATGAGATTTGCCAGTTGATACCCCCATTTCATGAATTTAAGCGCAGTACAAGCTAGGATCTGTTACTCAGCTCTTAGCTGTTGTCGAACACTCTGCCTTCAGGCAGAGACGAACCCGGACGAGACTATGCGGAAGTGTAGAGTCTCGTCCGGGTAGGTAGACAAACTCGAACCTGTTTATACGGGATTTACGCGGAATCTTTGGCCGAGCCTACTGCCTTGGATTGCATCACATTAAATTCAGCCTTCTGCCACATCCTACCCCATGGGGAGGTTGGTAAATATTACTAGATTGACATGTAAGTCTTATAATGTCATTAATGAAATTTCTAGTTGTTATCGTAAGGTCTACGCTAATAGATTCACGTTTCTCGCTTGCGGAGCCAATTCCGGTTTATTTGTTTTCTGTCAACTACGATTTTCAAAGATTTAAATGCAATGCCAATCGGCATATTCTGTCTCCTTGAAACCAGTTCTTTTATTGCAGACTCTGTTTCTTTCATTCTCACTAACTCCTTGCGTCTTAATGGCTTTATCGCCTGTCTTGTATGAAATTATTTAAAGAATTACATACGAGGGTTTATCAAACAGAAACCTTTGTTTAATTGTTGTAACAGATCTGATACTAAACACAGAAAATTCCCAAGATTCTAAACGATGCTGAATGAATTTGGCGCGTAAAAGATGAAGAGAGAAGACGTTAGAATATAAGCCAGGAATTTGAACAGCTTTGATTACAGGACTTGAGAAATTGCTCGTAAAATATGGGTTGATGTGAAAAAGTCTTTTTAATTGCCAAAAGAAGGTTAATCCTCTTTGACTGGGCAGCTTAGAACACTTTAAAATGATTGCCTCAATTGTCTCTTTTTGCTTTCATGCAAAGATTATTGACTGAAATCTTTTCCCACAGCCCGTGATCCCCGGGGCGGGCCTGAAACAATTGACCAAATTTAATTGACAAAAAAAAAAAAAAAAAAATTACGTACACATTTTGAATTTCAGACAAACTGAGTTTTACTCACACATGCATGCACAGACACACACATGCGCGCGCAAACCAATATATATATATATATATATATATATATATATATATATATATATATATGGGTAAGTGAATAGCAAAATTGGCTACAAAATTAAAAAAAAAAACAACTCCTACCTAATGCTTCACCCTGAAGGAACTTCAAAATGGAGTTAGTCTGATACATACATGAGTATGACCATCGCTGACAAGTGATCTCTCTACTCTGTTTTGAGAAGTCAGAGTTTCCTTCTAGACCAGTAACCAACCAAGGCTGAAGAGCCTTGTCTGACCTACTTAAACCAAAGGTTTGTTTCGTTGGAGAGTTTTGGCGGGTTGGGAGAGACGAATTCATGCCTTTCCCAAGGATATTTACGAAAATATGAATGTAACAAACCCGACTGATCATTTTCATATTTTCACGTAAATAAAGTAATTGTTAAAGAACTGATGGATTTTTATTCATTAACCAGGGTGACGCAGGTTCAAATCTTGTTGGGGTGAGCACATTTTTTCTTTTATTAAGATTACTCGAATACTTGGGCCGGTAGATGAAAATAAATAAATATACTATTTAATAAATAAATACTCGAATATGAGTATCCAATAATAATAATAAAAAAAACGTTTAAGTAATAAAATCTGCCGGATTAATAAATAAAAAGCCATCACGTCTTTAGAAATTGCTTTGTTTACTCTAGGATTCGAAATGGAGCAGATATGTTTATGACAAGAGGCTGGGAAAGCTTTGCGTTTAAAAGGCACTATTCAGCTGTGTTTGATCGTCGACGCACTTCGTAGCCGAGACAGTTTAAAGCACATCGGGTCTAGCGATGGTTTCCTTAGGATAGAGGGACGCAGGTTCGAATTCTACCAGAAATGCATAGTTTTCTTGATTTAATGTGATTTAACGAACATTCAGACCGGTAGGCATAAATAAATAATATACTGTTTGATAAATAAACGGAGCGTCTACTCAAATACGGGTATCCGCTAAAAAATAATATTCAAGTAATAAAATAGAAATATTTTAATCGTTTCACCCCAAGCAAGTCGATAATGCCACTAAGACGCAGGGTTTTACATGGAGTGAAAGGGAATGAAAAAAACTTTAGTGAGTAGAAGGGAGGAAGATATGAAAAAGGAACATAATATGGCGAATGACGTTGCATTTAACTCTTTGAAGATGGTAGGTGGCAGGGAAGCAATTAATCGGAAGGGGGCTCCACAGGCGAGAATTGCGAGAAAAGAAACTATTAGAAGCTCAACAGTAAAATGTTGAGACCTAACTGCCAATCTAGTAGCGCGTTTAAATTCATGCAACCGAGGCATTAAGGAGAACAGATCATCTGAATAATTGTGATTAAATGAAAGCAGTTTTGTTTTGGATTCATTAAAATAGGGATTCTCAACTTTGCTTGCTCCATGCAGCCCTTTCATCATTTTTCAGAATGCCATCTCCCCTGTCTCGTTTTTAAGGTGACAGGCCAGATAGGCCAAATTCTATAATTGTTCTCCCACACCACACACACACACACACACACACAAAAAACTTACTGTGATCACAATTCACCCCTGAAAATTCAAAATTCACCTCCTGAGGGTGAATTTCACCCCAGTTGAGAATCCCTGTCTTAAAATGTACAAGTTATTTCTTGCTCTAAGTGACCACTAATTTGGAGGTCCTTTTCAAGAGCAGTTGACAGTTTTGCCTTGTCAGATCCGTTGGACTTTCTACTAAGACAGGAGTAAATAGTTGTGTCATCGGCATAAATGTCTAATTAGGAGCTGACTTCTCGGGATGGTTATTTATGAAAAACAAAAATCGCCCCCCCCCGCATTGATGTGAAACGAACTGGAAAAGTATCAATTCAACACGACCTTCATTACAGAATTTGTTAGAAACGATTGGATTACGCTAAATACCCGATACCATATACCTTCAGCGTGATATATCAATATATTTTAATCATTTCACTCCAAGCAAGGAAACAAAGCCACTAACACGCAAGAGTGTTAGAGAATATGAAAAAAAAAAAAACAAAAAAAAAACATTAAGAATAGTGTTATCCTTAATAATGTTTATTTCTCATATTCTTTAATACTCAGTAAGCCTTTGCGTGTTAGTGGCTTTATTGCCTTTCTTGGGGGTGAAATGTTTAAAAATATATTTATAATCATTTATTTTATTTAATTATTTAATTAATGATATTATTTAATTATTTTAGTTTTTTTACGGCTTTGCGTATACGTTGCTCTTCATTCAGATCAAATTCATGGAAGAACATTCCAAAGTTTTTCAAGCTTGTGCTTGCATTAATTTCTACATCTCGTGATATTATCAGGAGCGTTAATGTCATCAGTTACACTCGAGAAGAGCCTTCATTACTTTCTTGCTGGCATTTATAGGTATTCTATGATTCTAATTCAAACCTACGTGTATCGCCAACAAGTGACGTCATGAATAGATTAGATATCCCCAAAGATGAAAGGCAAGATAAATGCAGATGATATGCGATAGAAACAGGTCAACAGGGGTTACATACCAAACATTTCGTGTCAGAGCTGGCTCAAAGAACGTAGAACTATACGTTCGTTTCTTCTGTGTAGTCCTCAATCCGAGGAGAAAATAAAGGGCCGAATCTCTTTCCAACACCCCTCATGCGACCGTGGATATATTTTTAAGCAAGGCGGGAAGCTACTAGCACGCAAGGGGTTACAGAGAGTTGGAGCGAGAGCAAATAGGAGTGATAGAGGAAAGGATGAAGAGAAGGATAGAGGATAGATCAAGGCACCTGGAGACGTCGATTGACGTTACATTTGAATAGCTGGAGATTATAGCTATCAGGGAAACAGGAAAAGGGAAGAGAGTTCCACGGGTGAGAAGTGCGAGACATGAAGTTATCCTAAATGAACTGCTAAATGTAGCTGTCTCTTCTACTTGTAGTAGAGACAGATAAATTTAGCAGTTTCGATAGTGAAAGGGTGAGAGCGAGATGCCAGCCTAGTAGAACGCTTAAATTCATGAAGTCTAGGAACCAGCGAAAGCAGCTCATCGGAGCAGTTACCGTAAAATTATTTGTAAAAAAGACAGAGGCAGGCGACGGCACGTCTGTGAGAGAGCTGCTGCAGACGAAGTGCCAGATCAGGGCCAATTACATTGCATATCCGTCTCTGGATTTTATCAAGAACATTGAGACAAACAGAAGGGGTCTAAGACCATATATGGCAGCAATACTCCATGCAAGGACGAATGGTTGATTTGTAGAATTGAAGTATCGACTCCGGCGAGAAAAATTTCCTGGCGCGGCAAAGGGAGCCAACTTTCCTTGCGGTGGACGAAGCGATTGACTCAATGTATTTGTTCCATCTCAGGTCAGCGGACAATGTCAAACCGAGCAGTCATAAAGAGTGGAGTTGAGTGTATTTGTTCCATATGTTTCTTAGGCGACAACAATCCTGCACGGGATTTGGAAACAAATCCACATGAAGGACATACTGAAGGGTTGACCGTCACATGGGCTGATGTATTAGCCCAAGATTTAATATTAATTCTTAATTCTCTCAGATGGTTGAGATGATTCTTTTCAAAGTAAGTTATACCTCGGGAGCAGGTATTTCTCCAGTTCAATCGGTTTTCAACATCAAGTTCGTCCTTGAAGCGTAACCAAGGACGGCCTACATTACGCTTACCATGAAAAAGTTGGCTATACATGAGAATATTCGGCATCCGATCATCACTGATTCTGATGACAGGACCAGCTCATATATATATATATATATATATATATATATATGTGTGTGTGTGTGTGTGTGTGTGTAAAAATATATAGAAAATAGGAAAGAACTCGTTAGGTAAATAATCCAAAGTTCTTTAGTATTTTTGTTATTATTTAAAAAAAAATAGTGCTTTCATAATGAATATTTTAATAATAATGATTTTAATAATGAATATGCTTATAAAACGCGTAAATTTCAGGAATTCCCAAAAAAATTTCGCTTGAAGATGGAACAGAGCTTGGTACTTTAATTCAATTTAATTCAAATAATTATATTGAAGTTTTCGGCTCTTGTTTTGAAACATGAGATCTCTTATATAGCGTTGGAATCATATTTTTGAATAAATAATTATATATATATATATATATATATATATATATATATATATATATATATAATTATATATATATAAACAGCAAATTGTCCATCCCACAAATTGTTTAATATCTAAAAAAAAAAAAAAATAATACTAAATTAATTGAGTTTTTTTTTCCGGGGTTTCAAATAAGGCGTTTAGCCATGTTGGCACTATTTGTTGTAAGATTCACTAAAAAATCCTTTGAGTTATTCAGCTAAAAAAGAACAGGTTAAAATAGTTTTGTGTCAGCCCCACTCGCTTCCCAACTGAGCAATGGTGAGAGAACAAATATCATTCAGGATTTCAGTGTTGGTACCAACATTCATATTATGGCTATCATCTTCAAAGTCCATTCAAGAACGATCAAGAGGATTGTGAACAAGTTTAAAAAGAGGGAACAGTAGAGGAAAAAACTGGATCAGGCGGTCACAACAAAAAGAGGGGTCATCATTTCAACTTAGAGCTAAAGAGATCGTTTAGAAAAGATCCAACTCAATTAGCAAGAGGTTTGGCACGTGAGAGAGGAGTTTCAGCTATGACAGTCCAAAGAACAGTGAAAAAAGACATGGAAATGTAATCGTACGTGAAACGTTTGAGGCACCTTGTTACTCCAGGACAGAAAGTTAGAAGGTTAGAGAGGGCGAAGATCATCTTGAATAAGTTGGAAAATGATCCAGGAATATTATATACTTTAAGACATTTTTTATGTTTATACATTCTTTTTTATAGATACAAATATTTAAGTAAAGGCTCTGCTTATAATAAACAGTATTAAACAACATTTACTGGTCTGAATGCCCGAGAACTTTTCATAGAAAATATGCGTCCTCCTACAGGAACCAAACCTGTATCCTATACGGAACCGTCAGATAGCCTGACGTGCTTTACCGATTGAGCCACAGAGGAGCGTTTCGGTTAGCAAGGTCGATTATACTGTTTTTAAACCACAATTGTCCATATGAAAATTTTCTCGGACATTCTACGGCTTATCAATACTTTATAGGTTATAAATAGAAAAAATAAAATATTTTTAGATTGTAATTATTTTGGGGCGGTTGAGATAATAATGATTTAGCGATACAAGTCTTACTAATTAACCCATAGCTGGAGGAAGAAGAGATGGTTTCATACTTTTCCCAGGGGTATTTGCGAATATACCGAACCTAATGGGAATTGGAACTCGGCACTGCGATTAAAAATTTCGAACCATCATTCTTTACACCACCCGCACATCCAGGTGTACAGCACCAGGCATTTCTAAACTGTCGCTTATCTAGGTACTGACCAGGTTCGTTGTTGATTAACTTCAGCGATTGTACAGTAACCGCTATTTCGACGTGATGCGGCCGTGAGCCCCAGGCAAGAGGGACAGAGGAAAGCAGCGAGTAACCTGTATAACGTGCTTTTGTAAATGGATGGAAGAATAGGCAGTGAAATGATAGTAAAAGACAAAATATTACGAAGAGATACAAAGGATAGGAAATTGTGGAGAGCCATGATGACCCACATCCTGAATAGGACACAGCAAATAAGAGAATTTTAGAAGGAATGCTTCATAAAGTTTATAAAGATTGCAATCGATTCAGCACTTTAGAGGCATCCTTTCAAGATGTGTCTATGAATAAAGAAAGCTGTTCACAAGGCGGAACTGTTTAATCTCCTGCATAAAACGTTGATGGAATAGAATTTTGCTTGAAACCTTGGAAGATTTGTGTCCTCAAAGCAAAAGTGGATTACACCTTTTGAAACTGAGAAGCTTGATTTGTATGGAAAATGGAAATAAAAAGGAAGCCTATAATTAGGACCAGAAAAAGATAGCGTAAATTTATAGGATACTTAATAGGGAAAGGAAGCTTGAATATTTTTGATGCCCGCAGTACATATTGAAATCAAGAGGGGCAGAGGAAATCAGCCAGTAACCTACATAACTAGCTTGTGTAAATGGATGGAAGAATAGAGATTAGAAAAGTGAGCAAGAAGACAAACAATACTAAATGCTACAAGGAGCGGGAAGGTGTGGAGAGTCATGATTGCCGATGTCCTGGCGATAAACTGTACACAGAAAAAGACGAAAATATGTTATTTATCAAGGTCATTTCACCTTGTACAATTTTCATTGGTTATCCATTACTGGTAATATTGTGCTCAAATTTAGGTAAACTCTGCATATATATATATATATGTATGTGTGTGTGTGTGTGTGTGTGTGTGTGTTAGGTGACAA